TAGTAGAGTATTTCCTGACTTTGAGTTCAGCTTCATAGGTGCCAACAACATGGTTGGCAGCGATCACGACCAGATCAATGTCGTGATCGGAGCGACTGAATCGCGAAGTATGAACGCGGTCTAATCGCTGTCTCTTGCTGCGGAAGCTTCCCTTCCCCCCCCCCCTCCGCTCCTTCGCAACGCCTCTTACCGCACTCGCTACGACTCGGGATGAGCGATGTATACACATGCCGTTCGAATAGCCACGTAAAAGTTAACAGTGGCGGGGCGGGAATACTACCAACCTCGAAAACCATACCTCTGGTGTTGACGGCGTAGCTGTCATGAAGTTTGAACTGGACTTTCCGTATAAAATCTGTTGGGTCGTCATCGTTGAACATCTTGAGAAATACCGTCCACTGGTGAGTATGCTGATCTGACTCTCGTTTGTAACCAAACGGTGTTGCAGTATTGCCGTACACAATCGGTTTAATTATTCGTTTTCCTTTCATTCGTTCTACAACCTCCATCTTCACCCTGAAAAATTCATTATAAAGTTGGCTTTGGAAGCGAAGCAGATGTGCACGGCAAGCAACTGAGTGCGACTGAGCAAAGATTCTCAATCAATACAATGAAAAACTAGAATGAACTTGCAGACGCTAATTTTGAATTTTTGGCGCGCACATTTTTCTGCTCATCTCCGCGCTCTCTCGCAAAGGATATAGGTAGCGCCTTTCAAAAATTCACTGCTGACTTCGTCCAGCGTTGAAATCCGTGCGTAGCTTGTGCTCTTTTTCTGCCTTCGTCAGCAATTCTCGCAAAAATGGTGAGCGCTACCCTCATAATTTTGGTTATTTATTATTTTAGTGCTCTTTGAGTGCGCTACAACTAACAGATTATATTGTGGAGGTGGATTCACTCCATCTCCTAAATACGACAAATCTGATGTTGGCGATGTTGTGAGATTACTTCCAGCTCCCACTTTCTCTACAGCTACTTATTTGTTTATTTAAGGTACATTACAAAAGGGTGTCTTCGAAATTAACACAATCAAAACCAGTAGCTACTCATAACTCAGTTAAAGTAGATGATATGAGATGTTGCCTTAAGAAGGCTGCGTTCATACTTTACGACGTCGACGTAACCGACATAATGGTCGACAGGTTAGATACGTATCGATCCGACGTACCCGATATAATCGGCGACAGAAGGTTAGACACGTATCGATTGGCGTCGGAAACGTCGGTTACGTCGGATATGGCAATTATGTCGAATCGATACGTGTCCAGCCTCCTGTCGCCGATTGCATCGTTTTACGTCGACGACGATGTCGTAAGCTGTGACCGCAGCCTGAGGAATATGAAACTTGAAATAATGAATAAGAAGCCGATAAAACTGTGAAGACCAACCTTAGTCTTTATGACTGATAGAGGTTCTATCGATACTACAAGTGGGTCAAGAACATTTTAACATTATCTATGAGTTCGATACGCTTAGGCCCCTTCATACACACGGCCTCCGCGGCATCCGTGGCCTCCGCGGCCTCTGCGGAATTTCCCAAATCGATACGTATACTTTGCTTGCTCTGAAAATTCCGCAGAGGCCACGGATGCCGCGGAGGCCGTCTGTATGAACGCGGCCTTACACTATAGTTCGCTGCGGACGGTTGGGCGTGTCAGCCAGTATGAGTGTGCACAGCGTCAAGGCCGTTCTCTGCCTTCTTGTTGAAACGCGCATGCGACAAAAAGTGGTAGAAAAACGAGTAATACGAACGATATGATACAGTATTGTCACTTGCCCGCTTCAACAACTGGGAACGAGTTTGGCACCGCGCCAAACGCAGCCGCACTGACACGCCCAACCGTCCGCAGCGAACTATTAGGTTTTGCATAAGTTTTTTTTCCCTGTTTTGATCCTTCCGTATTTCGTTTGCATGGAGGTTGGTATTTCGTCATCACGTGTGCGTGACGTGTACATGATACTCTTTCATCACACTAGCTATCACTCACCCACCCTGCATTTGCAGGCCACAATGCCGCACAATTACCACTGTGAAATCATGTCACAGTGGTGATTGTGCGGCATTGTGGCCTTCTTCGGGTCCCAGCCCCCGTCCTTCTGGGACGATGGAATCGACAAGCTGCCTGAGCGTTGGCGTCGAGTAGTGGATGGTGATGGTGCATACCTCTAATCTTCAGGCTGGTTCGCTATTGAGATATTTACAAAAAAGTCGGGGGAAAGAACTTATGCAACAACCTAATACACTATATAAGCTACCCATCCATTGCCGATGACAACCATATTTTTTCATGAATTTCCATTTTCACTTGAGCTCAACTTGTCGGCACGGCAAGCCTGCCAATTACACAACTGCTGTTCATAATCTCAATTAAAGTAACCAGAGAAGACAGCCAAACAGGCAGCATCCACGAAAAGGTCCTGATACGTATTGACTTGGAGAATCGGCGGACCTGGCGGGGGTGGGGGCAGGAAGTTGCACATACACGACAACAACTAGATACGTATCGATCGGAATGCTCGATGTTCGGGAACTCTCTTCGCGATGGCGCTGGATTGTTCCCCCCGGTTAGTCGATCCTCTCTGGGTCGAGGGGAGAGAGAGAGAGCAGAGTGCACGCGGCGCGTGCCGAGCAGTGTTGCTGCGGTAGTTCGGCGAAAAGCTGAACACTGACAGGTTGTCGCCAAAGCGTGAGAAAGTTTACTGCCCTAGAACTGCACTGGTGCAGTGCTGGCTCATAGTTCCGTTCCGCAGCGTTATCGCTGCGGCGAGAGTATGCACGCGACGCTTGCGCTCGCCAGTGAGTTTTCCGCGGAACCCTCTTTCGACACGTTTCGAAACCTTTGCGCGAACCGATTTCGCCAAGATCGCTTACTGTTGACAGTGCCTAGGATTGCTGTAGGTACTTGAGATACGCATTCGGGGATTTTTTTTCTTAAGAACAGGGATTACGCAAAGCTAACCATTCCCTATGCGACAGTTTCCGTCGTTGTCAAAGAACTAAGCTCACAGTGGCTAAAATAGACTTTTCAAGTAAAGTAAAAGAAAAGTAGCAAGAAAAAAAAGCTTTAAATCAGAGTTCACAGTACCGCTAAAGTCTGTGGCAAAATTTCAAGCACCAGGAAGTACTCCAGGGTGTTTGCAGAGAAGTGGTAGAAATGGCACCTAACAAGTCATCAACTTTTCGGGATCTTGGAAGTTCCACCTTTGAACCTGCAGTTTTGCTCGTTGCTGTTGCTCGAGTTTCTTCCAGCAACGCTTTTCGCTTCCAACATGTGTTTTATTTCATTGAAAACCAGAGGCTTACGCTGCAGGAGTTCGATGTATAATGGTTGGGAGGCTCTTTAAACCTTTTAGTATGCTTCGCACAATTTTCTTGCTGTAAGATCCATAGCAACACATTTACTCTCCTAAGACTCTGCAAGCCCAAACAGTCCAACTTCTTCGGAGATGAACACGATTCAGTCAGTAGGAGCAAAGATGGGCTGAGTTCCATGTGCGCAAGCCGCTGAACTCACTGGAGACTAGTTCATTCGACTAAACTAAAAAGTTAGAGTTGGATCTCTCCCACAGAAACTGAATCCCTTTTTTCCGCTTTTCACGATTTTTTGACTGATGCTAAGCTCCCATCACGATTTTTTGACTGATGCTAAGCTCCCAACTTTCTGAATTCCGTGAGGTCCACTGTCACGAGGCGGGTAGCATTCGAACGACATGTGTAGAACCAAGACGAATAGAAAGCTACTCCCCTTAGGCCGCGTTCATACATGATGCAGAAAAGCGTAATATGCAGAACTGCGGAATTTGCAGAAAGGAAATATATACGTA